TCCCACCCTACAGCGCTCCCTCGGACGCCCGCCTTGGACGCGCGGACCCGGCGACTTCTCACAGCTGCTGCTCCGGCGCTCCTCTCCTCAGACCCGGCGCTAAAAGTAGGGCGCAGCCGGACGCCGGGCGGTACCGCGGGCTGTAGGCGGGTGGACGACGGGAGCTAGACCACCTGCATCCCCCCACACGCTCCTGGCTTGGGTCCTTACGGCCCCCTCAGTTTGCTGCGCGGAGCCGGGAGGGTCCACCTGAGGAAGAAACGCTGCCGCCCAGAACCCTCTCCGGAGTGGGGCCGCGACTCCGGGCCTCTTCATCCCTGGGCGCGGGGGCACGGGCGCCTGCGATCACCCCTCTGGCTTCATTTCCCTCTCTGACAGGCACAGAGTACCCGATAAGCAAAGCAAGCACCGGCTTACTTGTGCATACTTACTGATCTGTAGTAAACAAACATTAGTAAGTAAGCACAAGTGCTTACTCTGCTTCCTGGGTTCTAGGTGCCTGTCAGGGATTGCAAATTTGAAAAGAGGCTTCTTTAGGAAGGTGCTATGGGGTTGGGAGAGGAACAGATGCCAGCTGTACCTAGAAGCAGAATCTTTGATGTGGAGAAAAAGTGTGAAATTGTTCACTGCAGATTACTAAACAACAACAACAACAAAAACTCACTGACCGAACACCGAGTCTATTGAGTAATCAGTCTGAGCATCTCGCCTTGAACTCTGAGGAGTCCTCTGGGGGGAGGGGGGACGCCTGATGTCCTTGCTCTTCACAACGGCCCTCATCTCCACAGCCCTGGAGGATCCCCTCAGGAAACCCTGGACCTTCCTTTTCCTCGCCTGCACCCTCCAATCGCTCCCCTGAAGGGTCTCGTCCTCTTTGACTCTCTCCTCACTCCCCATTTCGTTCTCCCTGAGCTTCTGCAGCCCGCTCTGTTCCTTCTGCCTCCCTCCCACCCTCTGCTCCCCACTTTGCACAGGGCCATCCTCCTGCCTTTCCTAGAGTTTTCTGCGAATTAGCACTTCCGTAGGCTCCCACATAGCTTTACTTTGCAAGAAGTTGCATCTAGCTAGAAATAACCCCCAGGACTTGCGGATTCCCCCCCCCCTTTTTTCCTTTTTGCTAATATATGCCCAGAAAATCAATGCCTCAGGAATATGAAATAACAGATTTTTCAAAAAGCACGTTACTCATCACACACCTGGGAACAATTAAAGCAGATAAAGGAACTTATTCTAAGAGACTGAAACAAACATACAGACTAGAAAGGAACAAAATGGAATCCAGGCAGGAACAAGCCATAAATATTAAATCTCTGTCACACTGGGGATGTGGCTTTGGTAGATTGCATAACCTTTAGTTTGGACCTGATGATTTGATTCTTGGGGTGGAAAAGAACATTGATCCAAGTTCACCTTAAATTGTTAAATCTGTGGCTGTTTTGTTTTTGTGTTCAGTTTGGTTCAATTTCCCCCTTTATCAGAAATTTAAGTGGGAAAGAAGCTTCTTCCATAAAGGCAGTTTAAGATTATTTAGATGTAAGCAATAATTTGATTCTTCTCTAGAAGTCACCCAAAGTGCTATATGGTCCCTTCTCATTTTTGACTTAATAATAGAGGCTTAAGATGTTACTCAGAATAGTATACTTTGTGGAAATGCGCATAAATCCCTCACTTTTATTTTAAGTGAAATGTTTTTCTTTTACCATTCATATTTCAAAACTTCTTAATTTGATTCTTGTTTTCTTTCTTGTCTTCTGATTATTTTCCTATAGTTTTTTGTTTTCATTTTCCACTTTATGATCCTTTGGAGATCCATTATTTCAACTTGAAAAATTAATACATTGTTGTATCAGGCAGAGCATTTAGAAGAGAACAAAGAAATTCAACACCTGGTTATAAATCAGTGTTCCAACAGCTCTCAAATTCTAAGTTTTAGAAGAAGTAATCTGTGTTTCCTTTTCTTCATTTGCCTGCCTTTTCTTATTGCATTGTTTTTTGCCTATTTCCACCTCCTATTTTTTCTAGTCTTCCTCTATTTATTTGACCATACTTAAAAGAAGAGAGTTCAAATCCTTTGTTGGATAAAGGAAATAAAATGTAAGAAGAGATCATCGATCCAGATACATTTAAACCAGGATGGTTCACGATCTAATAGAGCTCTGTCACTGCTTTGTAATTTTATATTCTAAATAAAGTTTTCTTTATGAGAAAATAACTTGAATTGGATAATACATTGGATTAGAAGATAATCTGAGTTATTTTTATAGAACTAATGAAAAAGTATTTTTGCTTACTATAAAATAGCACCAAAAGGTTTTTGTATTCAAATTTTAAATATCTTTTCATGTTCTCTCTACTTCATAAAATACAGCCAAGGAATATAGGCAACATGTTCTACACACACGTGCTTATGAGTAAGCGGGGGCCATTGGCCAAAATATGGCTTGCAGCTCACTGGGAAAAGAAACTCACAAAGGCCCATATATTTGAATGTAACCTAGAGATAACCATTGAAAAAATTCTTTCACCAAAGGTATGTTACTGATTAAAATGGGTTTGTATTTCGCATAACTTGTGGAGATGAATGGAACTGAAATATACACCATGAAAGATATTTCTAAGAACTTCTCAAATGGTCTCCTCTATTTTGAATCCTGTTATATTTGAACATAGCATATATTGGTTTTGTTGGTAATTAACTGTCATATGTTTATCGTAAATAGATTGGATCCTGAAGGCTAAAGGCCATGTTTTATACTATTATATATTTTGTCCTTTCTTATACCCTAACAAAATACTTTAAACATAGGGGGTACATATTTCTTAGAAAAGTAATTCATGAACTAATAAAGAGGACAGAAGAAAAAATATTGAATGTGAGTCAAAATATATGTGAAAACACTTCATAAACAATAAAGTACTTTATTCATTATAAAACAGTATACAGCTATTGGGAGCTCTGGTGGCATAATGCCTAAGGCACTTGACTGCTAACCAGAAGGCTGGTGGTTCAAACCCACCAGCCACTCCTCAGAAGGAAGGTTGGGCAATCTACTTCTGTAGAAATACCGCCTGGGAAACCCAAGGAGGGGTCACTATGAGCCCAATTGACTTGACAGCAGTGAGTTTGTTTTTTTGGTTTATACAACTATTATTAAGATTTACATTATAATTATTTAAATGATGTCACATTAATTAAATTTTTTTCTGTTTGAGAGAAAGATGAAATATAATTGAAAGCCTGTGAGTCAGGCAGTGAGCTAGAATTTATGTTCATTTGTTTATTTAATCCTAACAAAAACCCTATGATATGGGCTTATTTTAGTTCCAGTGAAGTGTGGTAGTTAAGATTGTGGCTTTTGAGTGGGTCACATTTTAATTTTAATTTTGGCTCCATCACTCAATAATAGTTGTTAAGTAGCATGTTCAAGGGAGCTCTGGTGGTGTAGTGCCTAAGGCATTTGACTGCTAACCAGAAGGCTGGCAGTTCAAACCCATGAGCCACTCTGTGGAAGGAAGGTTGGGCAATCTACTATTATTGAGTGATATCAGTATTTTTCATTTTGTAGATAGAGGTGGTTGTCAGAATTAAATTAATTAATGTATGAAAAGCAAAAGACCTGCATAAAATAAGTGTATACATTACAACCTGCAAATACCAGAACCTGAATAGGGTGGAAACCTGTCAAAGAAGAAAAACTAACATATTTTCCATTAAAACAAGCAGTGGAAAAGTGGTTAAGACTGTACCCTGTCAAAGGTGGAAAATTTGTGAGAGCCAGAAAAATAAGGCTGTCCTGTCGAATTCTGGCTCTCACAGGTTTTACTTTAATAAATTGTAGCCTTTATCAACATACTGAAGTTTGGGAAGGTTAAGTGACTCAGTCTCAGCAAATGACCCAAGGCTTGAACCCTAGCCTGCCTGACTCCAGAGTTTATAGTCTTCCCATAACACCGGTAGTAGTAAATGCCTCATTAAATTAATTATCTTCAGTGAATAAGAAAAAAAAGCTAATTAATCATTTTAAAAAGTGATGTAAAAGGTGATGTGAAATGCTTTTTGTGAGGTTTTTTTTTTTGCTGTAAATCCTAACCTCCATGCTTGTGGGTGTAATACCATTTGGAAATGGGCTGTCGTTGTTATGCTAATGAGGCAGGATTAGTGTGGGGTTTGAGTCAATCTGGTTTGGATTTTTTTTTGCTTTATTATTACTATTTTGTTTTTAAATTTTTGCAGTGTTTCCTCTGCAGTGGGAGGGGAAGGAAGGAAACACTGAAATGTCTTTTTTAAAGAGAAGAAATTCTTATGATTTCAGTAATTTTCAAAGAACAGTCTTATGGAACTACTTTTAAATATTCTAATACTTTAAAAATTATTGAAAGGTGAAAATTGCGCTTCGAACTTCAGGACACCTTCTTTTGGGAGTTGTTCGAATCTATAATAGGAAGGCAAAATATCTCTTGGCAGATTGCAGTGAAGCATTTCTTAAAATGAAGATGACATTTCGCCCAGGTATATGTACACTATTGATTGCCTCTTCCTGGTTTCCTTCTATATCTTTACTTTGGGTGGGCTCTTTTAATCAGCAGCATTCTATAATTTCAGAGTGAGTATAGTGAATGTAAGCTTCCTTTTGATTGAATCTAAGATTTAATGATTAAGAACAAATTGTACTCTTATCCTGTATTTGCAGAAAAAAGTCATGCTTTCCAAAACTTTCAATGTTCCTGCATATTTACATAAGAAATATACTTAAAGCCACCACATATGTGTAAGAAACTCTATTTGGTTTTTAATGGGAGATCTGGTGGCATTGTAGTTAAAGCATTTGGCTGCTAACCAAAAGGTTAGTGGTTTGAACCCACGGGTGCTCCATGGGAGAAAGATGGGGTAGTCTGCTTCCATAAAGATTTACAGCCTTGAAAACCCCATGAGGCCATTCTACTCTGTCCTAGAGGGTCACTATGAGTCAGAATTAACTCGATGGCAATGGGTTTAGTTTGGGTAGTTTGCTGTGAAGGAGCCCTGGTGGTGCAGTGGTTAAGCACTTGGCTGCCAGCTGGAAGGTGAGCAGTTTGAACCCACCAGCTGCTCCACAGAAGATATGTTGTTGTTGTTGTCATGTGCCGTCGAGTCAGACCTGACTCATAGCGACCCCCTCCTTGGGTTTCTGAGGTGGTATCACTACAGAAGTAGATTGCCCAACCTTCCTTCCAAGGAGTAGCTAG